CCCCCCCAGTTCGTTTGGGGTCCCCTAATTGTGCGAAGTTGCGCGGCCAAATAAATTAATTCTGACAATAAGTAGGTAAAATAAATCAACCTAATTTTAATTAAAACCTAGGATCCCATCCTGCCTATTGATTTAATTAAAACCTAGGATCCAGATTTGCTTGGGCCCCCCCCCCTACCTATTCTAAATAGGGACCCATTTTCTTTGGGGGGGGTCCCCCTACACTAATCAGGACCCAACATTATCAATCCCCAGAGCAGCTTTGCAGTCCAATACCATGCTACACTCAAACTTACAAAATGGACCCTCGTGTCATGTTCCAGATGCTCCGCGACATTGCAATGCACATTCTGCACAGCTCCGCGCATGTCCCTTGCCGCGCAGGCCTGGTGCAGGATCTGTCACCTGTGCACACGACGAGTATGACCTCTTGCAATTTCCAATGCTTTTTTTCTGCAAGCACGGGCCTCATAATTCTAGAGCCTGGGCGGGTTCCAATGCTCATAAAGCGCCAACTGTTGACCAATCTGGTTCTGCGGAAAGTAAGCTGGTGTGCTGCTGTTGAAGACCGTCAATTTGCAATGTGTGATAATCTGTGTCTCTCAAGCTGTGTCGGCCTCAAACTCTGCCCGAACCTACTGCTGCGTGTCAGCACGTCACGGAGAAAATCCTGTGAAGCAGTACTTGTACTTGCTACTCAGCCACAACGGCAGTGATGTATAAACCACAGGCATTCATCCTGTTGCTTCTCAGATCTTCTGAGAAGCCTGCCCAGCCTATGTCTGTGCATTGCATAACGGCATACATACGCCTACAGTTAATCCTGCTGGAGGTCATCATGCTTTGCATCTCAACAGCCTCGCGTTCCGGTTCGGGTCGCACTGGAAGCTTCTCCTGGGAGCTCTGACAATTTGAGCAAACGAAATCAAACAATCCAGATTCATCTAGATTGCCAGGGTCTACTGTCTATCTGGAGATGGCGGTTTAGCTCCGTGGCTCCCAGACAGTCTGCAGGAGCTTGAAAGACTCTTTGGATCCTGCCTGTGACAGGGTTGCCTCACCACCACTGCTGCTGTCTAGCAGGGCCTGGGCAATGCAGATCTGTTCTCGGTGATTGTCAGTCCGGCCCGCGCTCGTTGGGAGATGCTATGCCAATGCTTCTGCATCAAAAGCAAAAGTCAAACAACAGTGGGATGCAACCAGTGTAGTTTGATGCCTGGTAACTCTATCTTGTCCCTCCACCTGCGTAAAATACAAGACGGCGCTGCAGTATGCGCAAGTGGTGCGCGCTCATGTCACCGCTCTGCCCGCAGTCCGCTAGTGCCATCATTAGGCTTCCTGCATATCCTTGGTTTGCAGGATCCTCGCCTCAAAGTCATCAACAGGCAAGTACTTCTCTAGAAAACTGCGCAGCGCAGGAAGCAACTAAGTCTGAGCCTACGGATATGCATGGCTTGCTCACTGATGCATGTATGGACTTAACAAAGCGCACCCGCTGTTGCAAGGCTTTCATGGCCATGCAGCCCTCAACTTGTAATTACCTGCATACTCCAGCTGTGCACATGCAGAACGTGCAACTGCGAGGCGTCAAGCTGGACATCCAGCAGACATGAAAAGATGTACGCCAATTTGTTCAGGGAGGGGTCATCTATGCAGGTGTTAGTTAACCGAAGCACCACCACATATCTATACATATATATATATATGTGTATATATATATATGTATGTATATCCTTGCAGCTTGGAGACCTGGACTGTCTTGGTCTTCCGCAGCCAACAGGGGTGACCTGTGCTCTTCTGGGCAATTTTGCTGAGCCCAGCTGAGGAATGAAGTCTTTTAGTACTTGGGGGAAGAGTTGAGGTTTTCAAGTTGTCAAGTGCGATGCTCCTGCTCTCTCATGTGGAGTACACACATTGCCTGCGCCCCTTTACGCATTTATGGTACGAACGGCAAGTAGATCTCTTGGAGAGGCACCTGAACCACTGAAACTCCAGAGAAGCAAGGGTGGCAAAACGAGGGAGAAAACCCTCGAAGACAGAAACCTCACTTGCCCCGGTCCGAAAAACCCTGCTCCCAAACCTTCTTGGAGGGTCAGGGGGACTTAGTAAGTAGGTTAAGAACCCCTATAACCCATATATTAACCCTAATTATCCCCATTATTAACCTACTTACTAAGTCCCCCTGACCCTCCAAGTAAGGTGACGTCTGCAACAAGCAGTTGTAGACGTAGCTATACTCTGGGTATGAAATCAGTACTGGTGTGAGAATGACTTCGGCCAAATCACCAGGCTCATTGGTCCATCTTGATAACCTAGTCTATCTGGTCTGCAAACAACCGAGATCGAAGCCGCTGAAGACCTTGGTCCCCATGTGCAGCTGCAGGCAGATTTCTACAGCTTCTGATTGGAGCTGCGTTTGCGGTTGCGATGGCAAGTGCTGCAAAATTGAATGCTGGCCTGGTTTGCAACAGCGCATTTGAGAACCAAAGTGTTTTTGAACAGTAGGCCTCCCCGCTATCAACTGTTCGTAGGGCATCCATGACCCGCGCGGATGGGTACCAGGTCGAACCACCTTCCAGAAATTTCAATTGACAAAATGCGAGACTGATCCTGCTTTTCTGGGCAACTACCAGTAACTGAATCTTGAGTTCGAAGAATAACTGTTAAAGCAACATGGGTGCAGCCTGTAGCAATGCATCGTGGCCCAAAAATGCAGCTGACAATGGTTTAGTGTGTCTGCTGTTGTGTGACATCAAGATTTGGATGGCACAGAAGAAGTCTTCCTTGCTGTGCTGTCTAGGCGGCTTTGCATGTCCTCCTTGCAAGCGTGTGGCCCTCCTGGCCTGTTTCAGGGGCGACGGTACTGCCCGCAGCAGTAGATAATGTGCCTTGTAGGCAAAAATCCAGAAGACGGGTCTGCTTCTTGCAAGATGCTTGTAGAAAACTGCTTGTAGTAAGCAGCATCGCGAAGAATCTACTTGGAAAGAATCAGCGAGGTGTCCAGGGCTCGTGCTGATGTTGTCCGCACTGCCTGTAACCTGCCACAGTAGATGCTAAGCACAACTTACGACAACAAGTCCGCTCCATGCCTTGGAAGCTTCAGATGACTTGCTTGAGGTTCTTGACGATACAGCTTTCCTGTATGCAAAGACAGAGGTCAGCCATCTGCATTGAACAAAAAGGTGAGATTTGGTTGATTGCTCAGGCAAGGCCACAGGCCCCTTTTCAGACGCTTCCAAAGCAAATCCACCGTCGGAGCCTTTGCTTCTGCACTTCTGGCAGGGGAGTCCCCATCGCAGCACCTCTGCAGTGTCTTCAGCCGTGCCAGGCAATGTGGGCCAGTTCTAAACAAGTTGATCGCATGCCCTCCGCACAGACTTGCAGCTTCAGCCAGAGCTATGCTGAGTTGCAGGAGGCACGCTGGAGACCGCAAGGATGTTGAGGCGCTTGCAGTGACCCTTCACAAGCTCTTCAAAGTCTGCAAAGAGGTTCAGCAAAGCCTTTGGAGCAGAGGGAGCTCGAAGGAGCTCAGACATACTACCGGAAGCTCCCCCTTGGAACTGGCCTGCGGCACAGCGGGGATGCTGTAGGGCCTGAGCAATGTCAGGAAGGTGATGTTGAGCTTCACAGGTGATGTAGTTTTCACATGGACCAAACTCACAGCTTAACATATCAGGGCTAGGCTGGCTTCTCATTGCGCAACATCCCCGTCTGCCAAAGGCAGGCTTGGGAGTTCTTCTTGCTTCCATCCATACATACTTGCAGAGCCAATGTTGCAAGAAGGCCCTGCTGCATTCAAATGTCACCAAGACTTCCTCAGCTGTTGGACCGCCCCGCCCCGCAACCTAGTGCTAGATTTAAAGTGCAAGATGCAATGCTACATTGTGTGAGACTGCTTTGCTGAGTCACTGAGCGCCATGCGGTGCAAGCTCAGCATAGCCCGCGCAGCGCAGCTGATGGCCTGGCGTGTGGGCACCTCTTTCTTGCGCGGGAGTATACTAGAATTCGTTTCCATGGCCTCAAAGGGAAGGTGAACGGCTCAACATCGCATTGCTGAATAGCTCATGCTCCAGTCCGCATGCAACAAGATCGTCGCAAGCGTGGCCAGGCGCGCAAAGGGCGACAAAATCGCACATGGAGCTGTGAAACTGTACAAATCGAGGCCTCCAGCAGCGAGATGATAGGAATGTATCTTAGGACTACCGCCCTGGATCTTGAATCTTGAGTTTTGCTTGGTGCGTTGCATTTCGGGCAGGATGATGTGATGAAGGCAAGGCTTGAGACGTTGTTTCGTTTAGGCAATTTCACCTCTAAAAGGTGCGCTTCTGGGACTCGGGCTGCGCTTGCAGTAGGTGCATTGCCAGTTGCAGCCTTGGCGTCTGGAAATAATACCCATATCGAATGGATAGATAGGTTGACACTGGATGACAAAGACAAGCATACTCCTCGAAAGCAAAACGTTCTTCTTAAGTCCTGGTAGCCTGTGGCATGTTGGCTACTAGAATAGCTTGGAAAAATGTGGTGCGAATTTACCAGAACCTAGAAAAGATCATAATCTGAGCATGAGCAAGTTTGCAAGATTGGCTGCGGCAACAAGCAAGACCCGGACCACGGGGGTCCAGCAGAGCGTGGCTCCTCCCTGATAGCCAGGATAAAAGCCACCATGTGCACTCTGACATCAATGAGAAAAATCCGGAATGCCACACAAGTCGGCATTGCAAGGGGTTGCCAGCTGGACTTGCTTCGGGGTTCATGTGCACCATGCAAGATACAATGTGTGCTGTGCGAGTCTCCGGGTAAGTCACAGCTTAAACATGCAAAGGCAGCCGTTCCGGCCTGGTGCAAAGAAACTTGGCAGCGGCATGAACCTGAGTTTAGCTACGTGTCTTGCACTGAGAGACTTCTGGCAAGACAAAGAAATGGGATTCCAGAGGTTTGATGGCTCTGGAATGTCCGACTTCTGATGGCACTGAGCAACGTCTTTAGGGCCAGGCCTGCCAGAGCAAGTCCCGCACGAAGACCTGGCAATACCGGCAATGAGTTGGACTGCTTCAAGTTGCATCGTTGCGATGGACGGCCATGCGTGTGCCGTGGGACTGCTTGCGCCACCGCCACAAGAAGCCAAAGCGCTTGCATGGTTTGCATGCTATATGCAGCGCAGCGGCGGATACTGCGCATAGAAGCTGCCACGCCTCAACAACAATGTTTCCAACCACTCAGAAGAGACAAGCAGGAAGTCCTTGGGGCTTCGGCTTGCTGCGGGTATGACTGGATCCCACAATTTGCATTTCAGGTCGTTTCGCGATGGGGTCACTTCGTTGGTCCATGGCACTACACTAAACCCTCCCAGTAAATTGCGTGGACTTCTCTTCATCAAGCCGCCAATTTTGTAACTCTGTACTCGAGGGATATATGCAGTACATATATATATATACATATGAGCCATAGTCTAAACTCCTTAAAAGGGGTTATATAGGGGATTGTATAGGGAACTACTATAGGGGCTATTAAGGGGGATACTAGGAGTTTAGACTATAGCTCATATAGAGCCAACACACATCCATGAATGCCGCGACATCTTCTCTGTAAGGCAGCCCTGCCTCATCCAGCAACGTAGGAATGGCCTGCAGCTTGGATGCACGCGCAATCCCAAGCCATGCATCTGTAAGATATGGCTTCCATTGAAGGCCGCAAGCAGAAAGGAACTGACAACATTAGCACCTACTGGATCCTGCTGCAAGCGCCCGAGTGCATGCAAAGGTCATCCAGATCTGCCAGTTTTCAAGACCTAGCATTCACGAATGGCCAAAATATCGAGAGCGAGATTAGTCCGACCTCAAAGGCTAAAGGCTAAAGGCCATCAATGGTAGTGCTTTCTCCTTATTGTTCCACTCTCCTGGGCCCAGGCCCCAAGGTAAAGACGCCCAAAGGGCGACTGTTCGGGAGAGATCCAATCCTGCATCAACAAGTCGAAGCGGGGAGTTCGGTGAGCTGTTTTGAAGTTCTCCTATAATGGTCTGGTGGGTAGGATAGGAGGGTCACTCACCTGCATGAGATCAGCAGTGCTGTGTTCACACGCATGCAGTTCTGCATTCATTTTTCTTCCTGCAGTTCCCTGAATGCATTGTTCTGTATGTGTGGCCATTTTGGGTCAAGCGATCGCTTGACGGTCAGCCACTCCCTGTTCAAGAGGTGGCAACGCAGCTGTCGTGGAGATCACCCACATGTTCCTCTACAAGGCTTTGTTCGTGATGCTCGAGGCCGTAAAGTGTTCGCTACCAACTTAGCTCAGGTATACCCCGATCGTTTGTGCCAGGTCGTCGCCAGTTCAGTTGGCCGAGTTGTTGAGAACTTCCCCAGCTCAAGGCTTCCTTTGCATTGACGGACGCCAGCTCGAGCAGAAAAAGGTCTCTCGGCTCGCACCGGACCTGGCTTCAGCATCGACAACATCAGGCGGCTCAGCTGGCAGCGGCATCGGGCTACCAGCTCAAACGCGGAGCCCTCAAGCCGCTCTTGCAGATCGAATGTGAGCCAGGACAAGCCATCCAGTGGGCGTTGCAGGTCGTACACCCTTTCACTGTACCACCTGAGCTCAGCCCAAGAATACGGAATAACATTCGGCGGATCTTGCAGGCTCCACACCAGCTTGTTCAGGCTCGGGAACGACTGCTTGCTTTTTGGAGGAAACTTGCTCAGCAACTCCTACCAGTCTCCGATCGAGAGCTGCTCGCTGAACGTGATCCCCACTTGCGGCGCCTTTTGCGCGGCGTTCCTGATGATGCTCCTCCTCAGCTGGGTCGCACCTGCCACATCAAGCTCTATGAAGAGATGTTGCGAGCAGCTCAGTGCAAGGATACATCTCTGACGGGAAGGCTTCGCTCGGGTTTCCCCATCGTGGACCGCATTGAGGAATCTCAACAATGGCCTGCGTTCGCCAAGCCTCAAGATCCAGTACCTGTTCAGGAAGCACTTCGCAGGGCCTGGGAGTTCAAGAGGAAGATCTTTCAGAGGTGTGCTGCAGTTCCAGTAAACGACAACCTCAGAGCCATATGGAAGTCGACTATCGAGGACGTGGAGGAAGGCTACTCTGTTGGCCCGCTCGCGGATGAGGCTGAGGTCTCTGCCTTCATTGGCTCCGAAGAGTGGATCCCGACTCAGAGGTTCGAGGTCGTCCAGAAGAGCAAGGTCAGAGGTTGTGACAGTGCAACCTCCAACTTGGTCAACAGGACGGCAGTGATCACTGAGAAGCTGCAGCTCCCGTCTACCCTATCGGGTCGCCAAAGGTTGCAAGGTTGGGTCCTTGACGAGAGGAAAGCCTATCGGCAGATTCCAGTCAAAGTGGACCATCGTCGTTTCACAGTGATCTGCCTAAAGGACCCCGGAGACCACAAGCCTAAGTACTTTGTGATGATCGGCCACTCGTTCGGGCTCGTCTCTGCAGTCTATAAGTACAACCACAGATCTGCGGCCATCAATGACATCTTTGAGGAGATCTTCTCAATGATCTCCTTCAACTTCTATGATGACAAGTACGGGTTCGAGACCTGTGCGACAGCTCCGTCGGCAAGGAAAGTGGCGGAGGAAATCCACTTTCGCCTGGGCGCCCAGTTCGAGGCGAAGAAGCTCCAACTCTCCTTGTCTCCAGTGATCCTGGGGGTCACCTACAACCTGGACTCGATGGTTCTGGAGATCGAGAAGGAGAGGAAGGAAGAGCTCGTGGAGACTATCGACTCCATCCTCCACGCAGGGACTCTTGATCCGGGGTCGGCGGGCAAGCTCAAAGGCAAGTTGATGTTCGGGTCGAGCCAGCTCTGGGGAAAAGCCGGGAGAGCTTTCTTTCGCCCCCTCTCGGAGCGGCAGTACCTGAAAGACCTGACGGAAGATCGGACACGCCTAACCGAGCCCTTGATCAAGGCGCTTGTTCAGTGGAGGAAGCTCGTCCTCTGCGGCCCTCCTCGGAGATCTCCCTGAGGTGCCAGAAGAAGTGCGACGTGGTGATCTTCACGGAGGCTTCACCCCGGATCTACGCAAGAAAGAACGAGGCCTTGATCGTGTGGGGGCAGTCATGTTCGACCGCCGCGATGATCATCCTCGACAGTTCTCTGCAGTGATCCCTGAGAAAGTGGTTCGTAAGTGGCTCTTCCGCAAGACCCAGATCGTCCCCATGGAGATGATCGCCACGGTCCTCGCGATCGAGACCTTCAAGGATCACCTGAGAGGCAAGGACGTTCTGCTTCTGATTGATTCGGAAGCGGTAGAAGCCTCGCTCGTGAAGGGCTATTCGTCAAAGCAAGATCTCTGCGAAATTATTGAGCTTTTCTGGGACCTTGCTCTTGAACTCAGAAGAATTTCTTTATCGATCGAATCTCTTCGGATTCGAATCCAGTGGACTGGCCCTCTCGGGATCAGCTGTCTATCGGCGAAGCCATGGGATGGAAGACCGTGTCCTGTGCTTGGCCGTCTGCTCTTGTGTGAGTTCGTTTTACGTGGGGGAAGGTGCTGGGCCTGGGATGGGCTGCTGGTCGTTACCCGTTCGGGAAGATCGGTGACTTGTTGTTCTGATCACGGGAAGGTAGTTCGGAACACCGGCAGCTCGCCTAGGCTTAGTTCTGCTGCTGCAGTTCAAGTTTTGCGATCGCAGACGTTTTGATCGAGTCTGCTTAGGACTGCTCGACCCCACGCCAGAGCAGAAAAACAGTTCGTCTTCTGCTCTGAGTTCTGTCTGCTGATCAGTGAAGCCATGAACGTTCATGCGCGGTAAGTGGTTCTCCTATAACGGTCTGGTGGGTAGGATAGGAGGGTCACTCACCTGCATGAGATCAGCAGTGCTGTGTTCACACGCATGCAGTTCTGCATTCATTTTTCTTACTGCAGTTCCTTGAATGCATTGTTCTGTATGTGTGGCCATTTTGGGTCAAGCGATCGCTTGACATTTGTTGGTCAAGTTTTTGTTCCCACCCTCCCTAACCCTCATGATGAATGGAGCTTTCGCTGCTTCGTTCGACGATGTGGTCCGAGAGTTCGGAGGGCTCCAGGCGCTCGCCATGGGGACACGCGATGACCTCTTTCGAGCGTGTGTGGACTGCGGGCTCATGACTGGCTGCTACTGTGATGGCAAGTGGGGAGCTCCCTGCTTTGCCGCAGTTCGCATCCCCAGTGAAAGATGGTGCGAAGGTCAGCGCACTCCTTTGTGCACCAAGTGCGATCGCACCATGGGGATGTGCCGGTTCTGCCGAGGAGTACATTCGTGCACTCCTCCTGCTCGTGAGTGAAATCCACAAAAAGGAGGTGATGGGATGGGCTGCTGGTCGTTACCCGTTCGGGAAGATCGGTGACTTGTTGTTCTGATCACGGGAAGGTAGTTCGGAACACCGGCAGCTCGCCTAGGCTTAGTTCTGCTGCTGCAGTTCAAGTTTTGCGATCGCAGACGTTTTGATCGAGTCTGCTTAGGACTGCTCGACCCCACGCCAGAGCAGAAAAACAGTTCGTCTTCTGCTCTGAGTTCTGTCTGCTGATCAGTGAAGCCATGAACGTTCATGCGCGGTAAGTGAGTACTGTACACAGAAAGAGCACATCCACACACACAGTGTATATTTGCGGGAAGGGACTGTAAGAGCTGCGGGAGATGTACGTAGCTTCTGCCAGACCGAGACACCCAGCTTGGGCTTGGGCTTCTTTATGATGATTTGTTCACACCCCGTTGGGCCCCGTGGCATCTACGTAATTGCTTCATCCTGGTGTTCATCCTAGAGCTCCCAGGCATCAAGAGCTGGATGTGATGCTACTTCGAACGGGAAGCCCTACACCGCCCATGCATCACATCCTGGCAAGCACAAGCCCAGGTGAAAACAGGCTTTTAAACTAGGTTTCGTGACTACGAAAGCCTCCTTCAGCGCTCTCCACGGTCCGGCCTGCTCCGCGATGAGCTCTAGCGAAAGTGGCATCAGCTTTTCTGCTAGCGATAGCAGAAGTGCTAGTGCCTGTGCAGTGGAAGAGGTAGTGTAGGTATACAACGAGGCATGGTTTTCTGGGCACAACAGTGGCTCAGCTAGATGCAACCGCTGCAATAGATGTCTGCTTGTCAGACATTTCGGGAGGCACATGCGTAAGACTGTAAGGTGGGAGACGCGCCACTGCAAGACGCTGCATGATCCTGCAGGGTGCCTGTAGAAGGTCAGAGGGTTCGGCCATGCTGCGACCTCGAAGACAGCGCCAGGCGTGTTGTGTTAGAACAGAACAATTTGCACCCATTTCTTACGCCGGTGCCAGTGCGGCCTGACTGAAAGTTAGACATGACCGTAAAGGGTTGGCCAGGAGCCTAAGGCTAAGGCTTAAAGGATGTGGTTACAACTCAGAGGAATCCTTCGAAAGCTTACCTTCTAAGAATCCCGAGAGGCGGGCAACTCTGTTGCCGGATTCCCACCAAGAATAGACGGGCAACAAACTACAAACCTTGCCTTAATTATCCATACCAGACAAGGAGCTGAAACTGAAATTTCCGGTGAAGTAGCCGCAGCCTCAGAAGCTGCACACGTCCAAGTCTGCTGTTTCGGGCATTCGCAAGTGTGTACTTCAATCACTATCAACTGGGGCGGTACCTTCTCAGCTTCCACTTCATCAAAGCTGAAGCCTGACATTTGAAGCAGTTTCGCCGAGGGCGTTGCCTGAGTCCTTGTTCATTAACTCGAGCTTGCTTTGAAGCATCTGGGCATAGTCGACCACTACCTCACCCACAGCTGTCTAGGCCCCTTCAACTTCTACTACTCAACTTGAGAGATAGCTAGCATTCAGGTTGCTTCAAATGGGAGCTGTATCACGACACACCCAGCTGTTTGGTGAAGAACACCGCTCAGCGCTGCTCACTGCCCCGTCAACATATGCCACAGCGTATTTACAGCTCCGTAGCCTGCAACGCATTCTCTAACCCCCTCATCCTGAAGCTATGACACTCTTCTTGGGTAGGCTGGTCTTGCTCCATCTCTGAGATGTTCTTCAAAACATCCAGCCCTGTCGCTCGCTCTCTTTCTGCTCCTGAGACTTGGTTCTTAAAGGTATTTAGAACCCCCCGAAGCAATCTCTTGCTCACGAAGCTGCTTGCCCAAAAATCTGTCTGCTCTTGGACAGACGGGCCGGTATTTGCATACCGGCCGAGCAGGCTCCATCATCATACTGAAAAATCCGGCCTTTGTGTGGTAAGTTGTCCAGAAACAATTTTCGAAAACCACCCTGGCCTGGTAGACCGACCAAAAAATTGCGCTTGACAGGCAGCTAGCCTTTTTCCGGACAATTGCACTTGCAGTATGTGAGATCACTAGAAGTGCTGGAGCATGACGTGCAGGGACAAGACGAAACAAGGGCCGAACATGACCTAAAACTAGTCTTTTCCCGAAATCTCATTGAAACATCGAGGATGTCTCCGCATGGCACCAGCCCTGGATTCGATCCCATGCGCATCCATCGCGATGTCAACGTCTATTCATGCATTTAACGGCTCAAGATCCGAAGCAAGTGTCGATCCAAAACCACACTCGATTCCTGACACCTCAACCCAGATTGATTGATCCAAAGGCGATTCACGCCCCTGACCCCAAGTCACGAAAACTAAAAATGTGAAGACATCCAAGTACCTCATGCCTATTCAAACCATTGCACCTGTAGGGGAGGAGCACGATGAAAGGAGGAATGACCAACATCCATGACTTATTCTTTCCCTTCTGCCCGGCAGCCTGGATGCAGTGGAATGCCTCCGCATGGGGCATTGCGGGTCTGAAGCCAAGTATCTTTATGAAATGTGTACTCTAAAAGGTGTTCTCTCGTTTGAGGTAGCTGCTGTCCAAGTGGGCCCTTGCCCCCTTGCAAGTCATTCACCCTGGACTCTCCCTTTTAAACGTGCTCTGCCAACAGCATTCAATAGCAAAGACCTCGAGGCGTCAAGGACTGCTAGCAGCTAAGAGATCATACGCAAAGCGCAAGAATCCGCAACAACGTGCAGGTGAATCCTTTGAATTCGAACTGCAGCAAGCGCAGGCTCAAGACGCCTGTGCCCCATGTCCATCATCAGTTGCCTCTGCGTGGCTCAGCCGTCCCAAGTGTGCTGCTTTGAACTTGTAGTTTTCAACATGGCTCTGGTGAACTGCAATGCTTCCGGTTTTCAGGTAGTGGTCCGGGGTCCAAACCCTGTTGCGGAACTGTTTACTGTCACTACTACTATTACTATTACTATAATTTCTATTAGTGTTATTAATACTACGACTGTTATTACTCTTGCTATTGTGTCCGTCACCTGCTGTAATTAGGCTTTGTCATGATGCCTTTTCAAGCTCATGAGCTGCCGGCTCTTGACCCCGCTTCCAATTGTATCTAATAATTAGAGCTCTTGTTAGCGCTGCACGCAAAATGACTGACCCAGACCCAGCAAGTGAAGATGGCCTGACTCCAAGTTCCAATAATGGACTCCAAGAGAGCGTTGGACCTCAATGTTTGCTGGCTGCACGGATTCGTGAGGAGCATAGGCACTTGTTGACGTGTCTGAAAGCAGTCTATGCTTGCACCAAGAACCCGGCCTGGTCCAATCAGCAGCCTGCTTGCGGAGGTTTTGCCACGGCCAGACATTCATGCTTTCATGGAAGGTCGATTCTCAAATGATTGTTATAATCGTCCATTTGATCGGCTGCCCCTGCCTGCGGCGGCGAGCATTGAAGGATGCGATGGAGGACCTGAGCACATCGAAGCATAGATACTGGCAGTTGCAGCGACTCTCCCCTGGAACCGCAGGCCCTAGGTGCTTTTTCACAATATCAAGGTCCAAACAGGCTCTGAGCACGCTGCGACCAGAGTCTTGAAGGCAACCATGTGGTTGCTTTGTACCGGTTGCTCTTGAAGTCTCTGGAGCACCCACCTGTCAGTTCTGGCTTCAGAGTCTATGCATGACTACAGTGTACTTCCCGTACAATGAAAGGCGTCTCTTTGGAACTCCTGCAACATGCTGCAGCTGTGCAACATCTTTTTGCCTCGCATCTTTGGAGTCGTAGACCTGCGAGGCCAACCAGGTCCTAATATTTTGACTAAGGCCAGCATGCAGCTGGTGTATGTCTCTTGACCTGTATGCAGAAAACGGTTGAGAAAGATGCCAGAACATTGGGGAATGCAATTGAAGCTGCGCGTTCTACACTTCTGAAATGCCCTGGAGCCCCTGGAGCTGTGGTCGCAGCCTCGGCCAGAAGCCGCTTCAGGTCCTCGGAACGAAGCACCTCGCTCCGAGCATCTGTGGCCTCCGTTTGTTTGACAATTTTGGCAATTTTGGTTGGGGGCAGGATTGATTGGAAGTCTGGGAGACTCTTTAGACATGTTGCCCAGAGTTTTAAGCATCCCAGGCAGCAAGTCTGAAGCGTCTCCAGCACCTCACGAATCCCCACGAAACACTGGAGCTTCGCAGATCCGAGAACATGAAAAATGCCACCAAGCGCATGTGCCCAAACTGCCAAGATCCTGGAGCTGGCACTTGCTATCTGCTGCTATCCCTTCTCCTGGCCTTCAAGACCAGCCGAGCACGGTTTTTTTCTCGGGCATGGACACCGAGGGTGCACCTGACAATAGCATGCAAACAGACCTTTGGCAGCGGAGGCTTGGTGGATGGTGCGACACAACTGCCAATGAGGGTGCTGTAAGAGGCTGTGCGGACGTCACGAAGCACCTCATTCGGTCTCGCAGTCCGCTGAAAGCCTGAAGTGACAGGCTCAGCACTGCCGAGAGTCTCATGCCCCATCTTCCCCAGGACTGCAGTGCATAAGGATTCTGTAGCACTTTGGCGGATCGTGTCAGACTCCCTTCATCATGACAACCCATTGCATGGCGGACGGCATAGCAACCCAAGGCGCAGGCGGAGGTGCCACCCCTGAGACTCAGAGCAAATGAGAGATGCAGCACAAACTTGCAATCACGATTAATGGGTGTGGGAGTACCAATCAAAGTTTCTTTTCAGAATCCCCATGTGTCACAGCTGAATTACCGGCGCTCAGACCACCTTGTCTTTGAACTGGCTCCAGCATCTCTCTAGCTGCCCAGGCCCAAGGATATGACTGGCCGACCACCAGTGGCTGCGCCCATGCCGGAGCCTCAGCTTCAGAGGGCAGCAAGCTGAAGCTAGAATCACAGAGTGCTTTCCTCGGGCCTCATGATGGTAATGTGTTCTCATGTTCTCATGCTGTGTGGCTGGGCTCATGGCAGCTTGTGCCTCTGCACAGGGGGCCTTACAAGCATGTAGCCCCATCGGACACTTGGGATTCTGCTGGGTGTCTCTAGCTGCCCAACCACTTGGAGTTTCTAGAAAGATGCAAGGGCGCTCTGTAGGGCGTGAGGTAGCACACTTTTCTACACTTTGCTGCCGCTAGATGCACTTGCTCCACGCAGAATGCACGTCTCTGCCCTAGTCAGACGCTTCAAGCTCACCTCACCGCAGGACGCACACCTTCCTTCGCCCTTAGAGTACCTAAATCACATGTCATAGGTTGAACTGGACACTACAGTCTCCGTGGTGTTTTTGAACATCCCTGCCTGGCTCAAGGATGTAGCTCGTCGGCTTTCAGGCCTCTGGCAGTCTGGGCCAAGCAGAAGACAGCTCTTCATCTGCCACAAACCTAAAAATCCATGCGCAAACAAAGCCCTGGGAGACGCGTTTTGCGTCTCTGTTTCCACCTCTTTACTGCAATCCGCGCGGCCTGGCAGCGAAAGAGGCCTCAGGTGACAATGGGGTAGAGATAAGGCATTTCCAACCAGTTCAGCAATGAGTTTTGTTCGCTTCTGGATGCAGTGCCACAGTCCGGTAGAGGCACGCCAAGGTACAAACGCTTCACCAACATGCCAATTGTAAGTAAACGTTTACGCTTTTTCGTATGTTGGGGCAACTCTCGACTTGTTGCAGATTGCGGTTTCATCCATTCCCCGTCTGTGTCTGTACGGTCCCGTTTGATATAGATTGACGCGCGCGGGATTTGCTCTCTTCGGGGCCACCGCTGGAAAAGATATTGGAAGTTTGATGCATCACGCAACTGTCCCTTCAGCTCCCAACATCAAGCATATTGTGCACTCAGAGTTCCTGTGGCAAGCCATTTCTTCAGACGTCCATCGGGTGTTGAAGTCTAATATTCGTCAGACGGGATTGATGGATCTTGCCGGTGGAACCTGCAGCCGCTTTCCAAAGTGTTCACTGGACCTTCAATCCTCAATGTTTCTATTGTTCTGGATGCTCATCAGAGCTTTTTTCCGATAGCGCCAAGTATTCAACTTTCTGTGCTGTCTGAAAATCCCCTACACAGATCATCTAGCAATGTATACGACGCAGCAAGACTTCCTCACATCTCCAAATCCAACTCATCACCTGTCCTTTGCTTAGGCTCTTGCTGACCGCCCTGATGGCCACAGGCCGAAACTGGCTCCTGCACCAGAACAATCGATCATGTTCTGAAACATGAAAGAGTAAACTACCAGTCACAGCCCGGCCTGACATGGCTAAAAGGCATCTTCCTGCCTTTCCTGCGTCCCTGAGCTACTTTGGGTGTTTTTTTTTGGCGATGTTGTGCTTGAGTGGGCATGCAGGCATATGCAGGCTTGTAGGTTGGGATCTAGAGCATGGCTGGAGTTGAAGCTTTGCAGTGGCTCAGTGGCTTGTGTTTGCGTAGTGTCTTTTTTGGATCTGTACACCTTGATCCACAGCATGGTGTGCGGTGTCCCCACTGATGCAGCTGAGCTGTACTCTATTCCATACCATGCCCACCTGCACGCTTGCCAAGCAAACTTGCCACACCTGCTGCTTCTTTGCTCGTGCCGATATTTCTGCACGTGCGCTTGCCACTTTCCCCAACTGACGGCGGTCTTCGCGGTCACGAGGGTCTAGGTGTCCTGCGGCCAATGCGCATAGTTGGCATGCATGTGTTGGCACGACAGGCCAGCGCCGCTAACTTAAATAGCACATTCACCAGCCAGCTCCCGGCTTGCCTTTTCAGCTTGGGAGCTGACGGACAAGCCTAGGTGAGGCCAGGAGGATGTGGTTTTGCTGAGCTGCCTAGGAGTGACAGCTGAACGCTTCCAAGCCATAGCTGCATGCAACTCCCAGCTCCCAACACTAAGTTGCTGTAAGCAAAACAGCGTTTAACATGCCAACCTCCAGCTTGGAATTGGATATGTCACTTGGGTGTATTGCTTTCCCACTTGCTGGACGCCTTTCCATGTGCCTTCGAAGGCCTTGCAATTCGAAAGAGACGTTGTCCACAAGCCACGCTGACCGGCAAACAGCCCAGGATGAACACGAGCTTGGAAAGATTTTAAAAACAATCTGCCCTCAAAGACCTGATGTTGGGCTTCTACAGGTGCTGATGCCGAGCCTGGGTCTTCCATGAACAAAGCCGAGGCACCATCTGCTGCACGACCAGGAGGCTAGCTGTCAGACGGAACCTCAGAGGGGTAGGTTGACTTGGTAAGGGTCCCTGGGTTTGGTTTGTACTCCCCATGTAGAAGATCCCTATATATTCCCTATATAATAGTAGCTTCCATTTTATCTTCCATTATCCCAATCTAACCCTAATACCATGACCAAAAGAATGCTTTGGGCCAGGGCTGCCTTACTCAAACATTTTCTCTTCACGTGCAGGACCTCGATAGCTAAGCATCTCAATCTGCACGCCTTTGTGCGTGAGACACCGCGTTGAAAAGAGTCTGCTACTGCACGAGCACAACTCCGGCACCTAGTTGGTCTTTTCGGCCCAATGACTGTGCTATTTAAGAGCTGTTTAAGGAAGTTGTCTCTGATCAACTTAAGTCCTAAGCTCTCAAGTGCCGACTTACGGCGCCATTAAGAACATGTTTGGGACATCTTTGCCCGAATATGCCCAACTAGTGCCTGGAGGAGTTTGGCACTTGAAGTCACGCGAACGAAACGTGGCTTCGAATTGCTGGGCCTGGATACACGGCAGTAGGCTGCAAACTTTTAGGGCTGGTCTTGCGCCAAAAGGGAAACAAAGCCCCACAACATCTGCCCGCCCTCAACTCGACATCCTTTTGCTGGGAGAGGCCTTCACCAAACGGACCTCTCTCTAGCAGTCAGAGCCGTCTGCGGAAGGCCTGGATCAACATCTCCTTGACGGCCATAGCCGCTGCCGTCCACGCGGCTGGGTTTAAGCTGGATTGAGTAGGGATCCGCTATCTATGTCGGTGATTCAGAGGTGCAAAATGTCACTGTCGCTAGAAGACTGTCACTGCTAATTGTGCCACATCATTCAACGAACCGTAGTCTCGCTGGTTAAGCACGCAGGAATTTGAAAATGACACAAGTGGCTTCAACAGCTCAGCAAAGCGGAATCACCTTTGCCTGTGCTCAGCACTCAGACCTCCGTCTTGTTGAGAGGCTTCTTCAGAAACTGGGCCGGTTGAGGGCATGGGGCTTCTGTGATGGTGGATTTGAAGATGTTGCCGTGCAAGAGCTGCAATGATCTGCAATGATGATACCGAATTGGATTTGGTCGAGTCTTTCAGTCTGCGTGCACGTGTGCAAGAATCACATGGTTCTGGTTGTTCAAATCCTGTCCACGTTACGTTGCTCGGCAATACGTAGCAGGAAGTAGTGCTCCATCGCATACGACTGACTATGCATGCTAGTTTGCCAAGCAGCACTACTGTGAGTGGTTGCTCGGCCGAGGTTGGTGACCTCAAAGGCAGACTCTATCATGACTTCCATCCATGAACCCATGTCCGGCATGCTTGTAGAATTGGGAATGTGCAGGGAACCCAGACTGTGCTGATGGGTCCACACTACTTTTGCCTCTGCGACTGACAATCTGGCAAGACTTGAATCTGTGCTGGCCAGCTTCGTCCTGGCCCTCGCCTTCTGAGTCTTCATGCTCATCTTGGTCCTTGCAGAGACGCTATGAAACGCTGAGAAACAGGGATTCAGCAGGGTTGTACAAGCGGGTGATCTTCTTGCTGGTACCTTAATGCGTGCAAGGGTGTGAAGCGCCTTCATTGCATGCCAGGCTTGCCCATCTTGAACACGGTCAAAGCTCAAGCTAGTGGCATGGCTTCAACGTTGCAAGACTTGATCCCGTATATTTGACAGCAGGCTTCCTAAGCACGAGTAGCTTGCTTCAGCCACGCAAAGCAATGAGGACTCCTTATGCTGGCGACTTTCAGACATGGCGCACTGTCTGGGGCGATGAGCGGCATCGACGCGAACCGCGAGAAGGAGCCCATCTGCAAGATTCGCTTTCAATCTGCAGGAGGTTCCCAGGTCGGTTCAAGAAAATAGATGTCGCATCTGTGGACTGGTATACTTGGTCCTGGCGGCCTCTAACCAAGTCTAGGCATCCTACCAAAGGAATTGAATATCCACCGGTTGCAACGCACCAGCATGTGCATGCTAACACATAAGCCTACGCCCCATATCGAAACCAGTGCAAGAGCTGCATTCACCGCCATTCCAGCTGCGGAGACTGGAAACCGAAATTCTGGAAACTATCCTAAATTTCCAAGCCACGGCACAATGGCTTTTGAAGCGAGCCTCAGGATCACGCAGCAACCGTCGGGCAAATCAAATGCCAACCCTTTGAAGGGGTTTGCACATCTCTGGGCCAGATGTGTTGAACGCTCAGGACCGCTCCGCACCCCTGACATACAGCTGGCCAGGTAGCTTTTTCAGAAGCTGTGTGACTTCGTCGACGTCTGCGCAGAAATGCTTTGCCTCGCAGTGAGAAGAAAGCCCCTTGATGCAGGCATGAAGACCTTAAGAGATAATGCTGACCGACAAGACTTAGCACTCAAGCTTAGAATTGAGAGAATCAACATCTTGCTCACAGTGTGACACGTCCATTTGAGCCAACAGCATTTGCATTTTGAGTCCTAGTAGCATCTAGTAGCCTTCTTACATGCCTTCTTCAGTTTTTCACGAAGTAGTCATGCGAGCAGACTGCCTGCGTGGGTTTGCGGCCCACAGTCGCGGTGAACCAGCTTGCCGACGAAGTCTGCGCGACGGAGTCTAGCGTTTACCGTTTACGGTGATTTGCCACACAACTGAAGCTCTGCTGACTGAATCATTTTCCGTACCCCATTCACTCAACATGTCCTTCAACCTCAGGACATCAAATTTACATCTCAATCTCTTTTCGCTGATAGGCCGGGTCATATACCACTGCAAGAACCGAAGGCCCTTTCCCGAAGAGCCGGCCATGCGGTATATGCTTGCTTGCGACGGTGCTGAAGCCACACCATCCTGGCGGATTCGATGCTTTCAGCGGTGGGCTATGGTGGGCCTTGTTTCTTGGCTTGGAGGCCTGGTCGATTTGGGTTGGCGTTGGGAGCTTGACTTTTCATAGCATGACATTGCATGACATTGGGGACTCTCTTGAGCAAGAATCAGACAGATCTCCATAACGGCCTTCTCGCAGAAGTTCACAGAGCGCACGGCCTTCTTGTCCTCTGTACAGGTGTGCGAGAAATGTTGCGCAGCCCATGTACAAACCAGGTCAAAGGAATGCACTTTTTTTTCAAAACGTCATGCGCTCTACGCAATTCACTGGACACTTTCTCAAGCAACCGCTGGCATGAGCCTTCGGCGATAGGTTGGGCGAGTCGTTTGGCGATGGAGCGAGGCCATCAAGCGAGGAGGCCATAGACCTGAGCTTTGCCACGCAGGATGCAGGGGAGACTTGCAGTTGCCAAGAGGACAAGTGGCGATGCGCCAGCGCCAGCACGTCGAAGAGAACTCTGCGAAGGGTTGGCAGAAAGCCCCGCGGAGACGTCACCATTCTGCCAAGGACATGTCAGGGCTGTTTGCGCTTACTTAGGAGCTTCAGATCCAAGGAGTCGTTATAGGCTTGTGGATAGACTTAATGAAGACCTATTGCGCAGGCATGCTGTTTACAATCAAGGCTTCATGGCAAAACTAATGGCTTGAAAGTTTCGGCTGTGCCAACCGGCCCCACATCCTGCAGTGAGGCTATACGAACCCCAATTGCAATTCTTGCAGGCCGGGGAGCGTTCCAAGGCCAGATTGAAACAAATGCTACACTGTTACACAGTCTCTGAGAGCATGGCCCTCTTGAAGTAGTCCGAGATCGCCTCGAACCTCAGATTGCATTGTAGCAAGTTGATTTCGTAAATCCTTCTACGCACCTGCTGCGATTCCAGCTCAATGATGCGATTCAACTTGCAAATTCTTGTGCTCTCATCCCTTGAGGCGGGGTGACATGTCCTCATCAGATCGATCGTCGCCGATGCTAAGAACCTCAGCTACGCCAGCCACAGCTTCCGCGGTAGCGGCAACGTATGGTCCAAGAAATTTGACTGTAACAACTACGAAAGAAGTTCACCGATGTCCTCGATACTCCACATGTTCTGGGCTCCCCAAGACCGTCTAGCAAAAGTCAGCAGAGTCGCAAAGTCGACACTTCCCAGCTCTTCGAGCGTCTTGATGACGGCCCGGCCCTGCAACACTGCGGCATGCAATCTTTAATATGAGTAGCCTGCACATCGCTTGTTCAGGCTTTCCACGTATGTAACTGAGATTCTTGGTTTTGGAGGACGACTGGAGGGTAGGGCTGATAAAGGCCTACTCCGCCAAGTGTCCAGTGCCAGAGCCCAGGTCACGCTTACAACAACACCTCTATTTCTCGTAGACGCCCAGGCTGGCATATTAGCTTTTACCTTGACCGGCGCATCATGCGACAGGCATTGTTGATCCCAGCATCTCTGAAGGACCTTGTCTATGTCCGCACGCTTGACTTCCACATAGCCCTTGCCCATGATGACCTTCACCTCACAGGCGGAAAGGGGGTTTGCCATGTTGTGCCAGTCTCACATCGACAGTTTTACCCTATCAGAATCGCATGCGCTTCGAATGGTGGCTGATGTCAGGGTATCTGTGTAGCGTAGGCACGGGTATATGGTTCAGCTTGACTTGGAGAAAGCCGGGATGATGTCCGAGTGGCCGGGTATCCGAACAGAAGCCCTGTGGGTATGTCTGGATCCAGAAACCTTAGTGACCAGCTCCAGTAAGCCGCACAAGTGAGCCGCATCAGAGCTCTTTCAGCTGTGGTAGATCTTGAAGTCCAGTTTGCAGTGGGCAAGTTGCAAGCATCCCTGGCACAAGAAACTTGCAAACGCGTGGAGTTAGCCAGTCCGAACAAAAATCTGCCAGCTTTTTGAAAAGATCTCGAGACATCCAGTTGCATCTGTAACGCCGCCGTGGGCATTGACAACTAGGCGCAGAATCTGTGTGCTGGGTCAGCTGCCGTACCAACTCCAAAGCCACATCATCAATGACGCCCGTGGCACCTACCTCCAATGCCACTACGTGGGCTGCACTTGCTTGTCTTGAAGTGTCTGACAGAGCCAGAGCCTCCACTGCTACTTGAAAGGAAGACCTGGCCTCACGGTAGTTCCAGGAAATGGCACATGCCTGCAGG